AATTGTGCTATATATATATAATCTTTTGAAAATCCATAAGAACAGAAAAGGAATAATAATAATAAATATGATTTTTATTCCATAAACAATTATCAATCACATATTAAAGGATTTTCCAGGCAGCAAAAATTGGAAGCCGAACTTGTTCTGATCACTCGAAGTGATTTTCAGCTAAATTAGTATCCAATATGCCCATCATCGAGGATGGAAGAGCAGCTTATATAGATGTGGCCTAGCCATAGGAGCACATTGTCTAAATGTGTCACAACTTGACCTGAACCGGGTCGTGCAGTAGGCCATTTGCCCCTACAGCTGGGTCTTTTGGAGAATGCCGAAAAATATGAACTGGGGGCATGCCTAGTCCAAATAACCAACACACCCAAAAAAATGACTTAAAGACGACCCAATTTACGCATGCATATCTGTTTGGAAACAGGTGATCGGCCATTTACATTTTTTCTAGGCATTCCCGTTAAAGAGCAATTATATATGGTTCAGTCCTCAGTTGGACTGGTCTTGGTCCAATTTCCAGAGCAAAATTAAGCAAAGATAAGTCAGATGAGAACACATACAGAGAGAAACCTTCCTAAATTATACTGTATATTTTCTCTTTGGTTTCAGGGTTACTCTCCCAATGCCTATTTCCCCGAGTTTTTTCTGACCAACTTTGGCTTCTCTGATTATAGACAAAACTGTATAATCCTATAATTCTTGTTTGGCAGAGATTCTGAAAATTAATTTTTTTACCGTTAGAAATAAAGTGAGTCCTACGTGAGAGAAAAATTCAAAAATGATGGTTGAAATAGTGAAATAACAGTCAAAAAATTGATTTTAATTGGCTTTTAAGTCCTACCAAACATGCTAATGTATTCAGAATTCAAATACATCATCTCACAAATTACAACACAAAAAACAAAAAGGAATAGGCTGCCTAAGCCCAAGACTAAACTATTAAATTAAGAACATTATAGTATTACACCATTTACTCCGAAGCTACTTTTAAAACATTTTTTTAATATTTTATGTTCAAACCTCATAGATCCAACTCACAAATTAGATTCTCCTGTCTATAAGCTTGTTCGAGAGAGAGAGAGAGAGAGAGAGAGAGAGAGAGAGAGAGTGGTTTCTCTGGAACAGTAGCAGAAGGTCAAACTTTTCTTCTTTGCTCCAAGTAAACATTGTTCCAGGTAAAGTGAATTGTTTAAAGTATATGTTTTTTTACCCCATAGCCTTAAGTTTGTGCAATGATGGGTTCCAATAAACTATGGCAGCTTCTCCAATCATAATGATGGATCAAAGAAATAAGCTTTCCTGTTTGAAAGACAGTTTTGTATCTATGTTTTGATTAATTTCTTTTTCTGCACTCATTGGTCTGAACAGTAAAATCTGAGGACTAATTCTGACTCTGTGAGGCCCACAATGGAAGAAGATGAGGCATGAATTCACATGTAAGATCTCCTTATGCTGTTCAAAAGTCTTGACTGTTGCATTCATCTTCTCAAGAGTACTCAGTGTCAGTCACATACAAATTAGAGCAAGAATCCAACAGGGAGGCCAGTTTTTCTGATGTCGATGGTGGTCAACCAGGCTTTTTTGAATGCTACTCAAAAACATGGTGTGGAGTGTCTCAGCACGAAATCATAAAACTGGTGTTGGACATTTAACCAGGTAAAACGTTACGCGCTTGTTACACTGTATCCAAGGTTAAACCTTTACCTGTGTTCCTTGCCACTCTTGAGACTTCATAACCAGAAAATCAGGTTTTGGGGATTCCTTATTCCGTTGACTATGGATGAAGAAGCAATGCTGTCAGCAGAACCTCCTAAGGAGATCCAAACCATTGATACCAAGTCCCTCACCATCAAGATAGCAAATTCCTGCAAGAAAAATGGTAAAGAAATTCGAGCTAACATTGTGCCCTCAACTCTAGATTCACTTTCAAAGAACTCGGTAGAAAATTCAGTAGCATCGTCTCCGTATTACTCTCCACTCATCTCACCTCCATCCTCAGCATTTGTTTCAGCATTACAATCACCTTACATTTCTCCAAGGGCCAACGTAGTTACGAGTTCAAATCCAACCCAAGAAAGTCCCACACCAACCACTACACTCACTCACCCGTCTCCTCCAGTGTCATACTGTGGATCACAGTCAGATGACATCCCGAGTACTTCCTACACTCCACCTCCCGAAAAATACCACTATTCTGATGACCCCGACAACACAAAGTTCAAAATTGTGACTTGTGTTCCAGTTTCAGGTCCAGACACGGCTCCTCGTATTTCATTTTCATTTCCTGTTCCTCGAATTTCCTTTGCAAGAGGCTCTGTTTCACCTGCCTGCAATGCCAAACTTAGGAGCTGTGATGTTTACATAGGCTTCCACGGACAGAACCCAAATTTGATACGGTTCTGTAAGTGGCTTAAATCGGAGCTCGAGGATCAGGGCATTGCTTGCTTTGTTGCAGACAGAGCAAGGTATGCGGATAATCAGAGCCATGAGATTGCGGACAGGGTTATTTGCTCTGTGACCTTTGGAGTGGTCATTGTCACCAGTTATAGCCTTCCAAACCATCTAAGTTTGGAGGAGATCAGATTCTTTGCACAAAAGAAGAACTTAATTCCTTTGTTCTTCGACACTGACGCCAATGAAATTGCAAGGCTTTTCAACCCACATTCTGATAATAAGGAATGTAGAGAAGCACTGGATGGATTATTGAGGTCTCATGAATTCAGACTGGAAGCGAATGATGGGAACTGGAGAAATTGCGTGTCAAAAGCTGCTGGGATATTACGGGGAAAGCTCGGAAGGAAAAGCATGACCGAAAAGGAAGTAGAAAGTTTTGAGGAGTTACCATTTCCAAGAAACAAATACTTTGTTGGGAGGGAAAAAGATATTATGGAAATTGAGAATACATTCTTTGGACATAGGGATTACACGGAGCAAGAATGTACCATGCCAACAATTAAAGGAGGAAAACCAGCGCAATCTGATGGTCTAGTGGACCAGGAATGCGAGGCCGACACTGTTAGAGGAGGCAAATACATAAGTTTAGAAGTTGGCAGGTGCAAGGAGCCAACTTTGGAGGCTTGGGCTGAACCAGTTATTGGAAGAAATTCACAGAAAAGACCTAAATATAAAAAGTCTAGAAGTGGGAAAAACAAGAGCTTCGACAGCAGCATCGTGTGCATAAATGGATCACCGGGAATTGGAAAGACAGAGCTTGCTTTGGAATTTGCATACAGGTACTCACACAGATACAAGATGGTTTTGTGGGTTGGTGGTGAAACTCGGTATTTCAGGCAAAATGTACTAAACAAATCGCTCAATATGGGGTTGGATGTGAGTGCAGATGCAGAGAAGGTAAGAGGGAGGATCCGGAGCTTTGATGAACAAGAATCTGAAGCATTCAAGAGAATTAAAAGGGAGCTGTTTCGAGACATGCCTTATTTACTGATTATCGATAATCTAGAGACCGAGAGGGAATGGTGGGAAGGGAAGGATCTACATGACTTAATACCGAGGAATACAGGTGGCACCCATGTAATTATCACGACTAGGCTCCCCAGAGTAATGAATTTTGAACCAATTCAACTTCAGCCATTGCCATTTTCGGATGCAATGATATTGATTAGAGGAAGACGGAAAAAGGAGTATCCGGCTGCAGAACTAGAAACCCTTGGAAAGTTCAATGAGAAATTGGGCAGCTCAAGTTTTGGATTGTGGGTGATAGGTTCGCTGCTTTGTGAACTTGCAATTACTCCATCGGCTCTGTTTGAGGCAGTGAACAATGTCCAATACGAAGAAGCTACTGGCTGCTTTATTGCAGATCAACAATTTCATAGAACAAATACTTTTCTAATGAAAGTCCTGTCTTTTTGTGCTGTTGTGTTGCAGCAAACAAATGTAGGGACGAATCTTCTAGCCTCGAAAATGCTTCAGGTTGGAGCATGGTTTGCCCCAGCTCCCATTCCATCAAGTTTACTGGCCACGGCAGCAAATTACATTCCTTCCACCAGAAACAAATTGAGAAAGTGGACCAAGTGCTTGAAAGTAACTTTCTGTTGTAGCTCAGGTTGTTTAGCAAATCAACCATGGAAGAGTGAAGAGGATTCAGCACTTCTCTTAGTTAAACTCGGTTTGGCACGGATAGCCAATAAACAGCCCGGATGCTGGATCCAGTTACATAACATTACTCAAACATTTGCAAAAACGAAAGAAGGTTCAGATGCTGCCAAGGCAACGGTTCAAGGAGTAAGGAAAATAGGAAATCCACTAGAAAATTCAGACCACCTGTGGGCTTCAGCTTTCCTTGTCTTTGGCTTTAAGTCCGAACCCCCAATTGTCCAGCTCAAGGCAATTGACATGGTTGTCTTTATCAAGAAAACAACTCTCCCTCTAGCAATAAGTGCCTTCACAACATTATCAAGATGCAACTCGGCCTTAGAGCTTCTGAAGGTCTGTACAAACGTACTAGAAGAAGTCGAGAAGTCATTTGTGTCTCAGATACAGGATTGGTGCCATGGTTCTCTTTGCTGGAAAAAGGCACTTCAATCCCACCAGAGAGTGGACGAGTACGTGTGGCAGGAAGTGACATTGCTGAAAGCTACACTGCTTGAGACGAGAGCAAAATTACTGCTGAGAGGTGGCCATTTCGACAGTGGGGAAGAGCTGTGCAGAACTTGCATCAGTATCAGGACAGTGATGCTAGGGCACAACCATGCTCAAACATTAGCTGCTCAAGAAACATTAGCCAAGTTAGTGAGAATGAGGAGTAAGATATGATGTTGTATCTCGAAATATAATAGTCTTATCCACGGACAGACTCGATTTTGTTCACATTGTAGTCATCTGCCATTAACTAGTTAGCTTATATAAAAGCTATCAATTCAATGTACTCTCTCAGAATCGTGCGATCATCGAATCATTACTTTCTTGAGTGACATTCTTATAGATGCACATTCATGATGTGTGTTGGTAAAGTAAATTGGACAACATGGAATAGTATTGACGAAGAATTCTCGTTCACATATTATTAACAAGCATTGTTAAGGATCAACAAGAAAGAACCATAACGCCCAAACCAAAAATAGAAAAATAATTGAGCTCTGTTGATCAATTACCACGGTGTAGTAAATGAAACTCCAGCACTATACGAGAACTCGAAGCAGTCGATTCGGAGGCGATCAACCCTTAGAAACCGCTTTATATCAATCCAGATTTCTTAAAACTCCATGAATAGCCATGCCAAGTGCCTTCCAATGTTAATCGACAAATTATTCCAATTGCAGTGGTAGGTTTTGATGCGATGAAACACGGTAAAAAATCAAAAGCTTTTCTTCTTCGTACCGGGAGATAACATAAATCAATCATCAGTAAACTGATTAAATTTCTTTGATTAAAAACTTAAAATTAATCGGAGTGCAGAATTCCCTCCCACGATGTTGCATTCACTTCAAGATTTTTTTGTTTTTTTGGGGGATCGTGGGTGTCCGACCTCGACACTGGCCGTAAAGCTTAAGGGTACTCGATCTGGTAATCATTGAAGAGCAAATTCAATGACTAACCATTGAACTATCCCTCGAAATTGCTATCACTCACTTCAAATGAATAATTAAAATTAATTGCTAACTTTGATTTAAAATTAAAATTTTTAATTTTCACCAAACATAGTAAAAAGTTTAAAAAGAAAAGGAGCAGGAAGAATCGTTATATATTGTCATATTGACAATCTAAGTGCTATTTACTTTTAATGGGCTAAACAATCGGGTTTCTAGCGGGCCCTCTCAACTGTGAATCCTATTTCAATCGTGATAAGTGGGCTTTGATCCTACTGGACAAGGAGCAATAGTTTCCAAGTTTACTTTTAAATCTCATTTTTATTTTCAAAATACTACTTTTAATTACTTTTCAATCTAAACGCTATTTGATTTAATTAAAATCATATTTTGAACATATTTTGATGAGAGTTGATAAGAACCATTAAAAATGACTTCAAGAAAATTTAATTTAATAAAATATATGTCAAATAAGATTGTTTTACATTATTACACAACTTCTTTCCTCCACTATCACATCTACTGTTGTCATTATCACTAATTGTAACAAATTGTGTTATACTTGTAAAATACAAATTTTCAACCATTGCCTCCGTCACAATCACCTGTAATATACCATTACCAATTGTAACAAACCTTGTCACACTGTCATACCATTACTAATAAGATTGTCGACTATTTCCACCACCACTAACACCTCAAAAATCGATACCATTATTGTCATCATCGTCATCGCTACCACCACCACTAAACCCATCAAATTTGCATAGTCACCATCACCATCACCATCATTTCCCCAAAAAAAAAAAAAAAAAAAAAAAACCCCATCTTATCACCATCACATCCATCACCACCACAGCAATCACAGTCTCTTGCCATTCTCCCTTCACATCCATCACCACCACAGCAATCACAGTCTCTTGCCATTCTCCCTTACTCTCCTCCCCTCCAAAATCTCTATTGTCAGATCTTTCTCCAAGCTTCGCTTTGGCACCATCTTCAACGACAACAAATTCTTCTACTCTTAACAAGTCACCGATGTCGACTCTTGCACTTGCCATATCGGGTGAGTAATGTAGTGTCAGAGCAAGACTACTCCAGCGAAGAATGACCAACAGGCTGTGGTGGGGACAGAGATGGTTCTAAAAATGGTTTTAGATGGTGGAAGTGGTCGCGATGGATGACGACGACGATAGATGGTCGCTGCAAATATAAGGGTAATGATGGTCAACAACGTTTGTTTGGTAGCGATGACGACCACTACTATGGTGTTGGGTTATTGTTTGTATGATTGTGCTATATGTATTTAATAGATTTACATACATATGATGTGATAAGATATGATTGAGTAAGAACTTCTCCAATCAAATTACCAAAAAAAAAAAAAGTTCACTCTTTTTTACACATCATTTGTGTGTAAACCATTATGTAACTGTTTATGTACAAGTAGCATTATTTGAGCTTGTCCTAAATATGTGATTTGTGCATAAAAACAGTATATTTTGAATAAAATTCAATTGTAAGTACACATAGGGGGTGTATTCAATTGAAACTTTTAAAGTCTTTGAGAGATTTAAAAAATTTTGGTGTATTCAATTGAGACTTTTAATGACTTTTTGGGATTTAAAAGTTTAGGGGTATTCAATTGAGACTTTTCGAGGCTCTCTAAAAGTTATGATGTATTCAATTAAAACTTTTATAGACTTTTAAAAAATCTCTAAAAGTTACGGTATATTCAATTAAAACTTTTTAGAAGTCTCTATAAGTTTTAGGGTATTCAAATTTTAATGATTTCTAGAGACTTTTTGGAGTACTAACTTTTAAGCAAAAAGTACTCATATAATATCTTAAAATTTGTCTCTCATTAATCACAAGATTTTGGGAGACTTTCGCAAAAAAAAAAAAAAGCCTTTTTTTTTTTTTTTTGTAATCTTTCTTTCCTTTAATCTTCTATGGACGTTTATAATTAAAATTTATTTTTTTTCTATTTATTATATTCCATTTATTTTTCATTCTCTCTTATTATTTATCTCTATTTTCTATGAAAAATTAAATTGGATTCTTATGACTGTTATTTTCTTTTTTCATTTATTTTTTGTGAAAAATATTTATTTTTTTATTAAATTATAAAAAATTATAATTAAATTTAAATGTATTGATTTTTATTTATTTTTAAAAGTATACTATATATATATATATATATTATTTTTATTTTTTTTTATTAATTATTTAATTAAGGTCTTAAAATTTTATTTTATTATATGGGAAGAAGAAGGGGAAGAAAAAGGAGAATTATGGGGACTAACACCTCGTATGTGTGAATTTCACATTAATACATGTGAATTCTATTTCAAATAAAAGTTTTCAAAAATCTTTTGCACACTTAATACATGTGAATTCTATTTTAAATAAAAGTTTTCAAAAATCTTTTGAATTCCACAAAAGTCTATAAAAATTTAAAATGAAAATCCATAGAAGTCTACGAAAGACTTCTACTAATTTCATATAAATCTTTAAAAGATCTACGAAATCCACAAAAGTCATCACTTGAAAAAAGTACATCAAAGTTTTCAAAAATCCCAATTGAATACACTTCCCTTAAAGACTTTTAAAAAGTCTCTATAAGTTTCAAGGTATTCAATTAAAATTTTTCAGGAGTCTCTACAAGTTTCGGGGTATTCAATTGAGAAAGACTTTCAGGGAATTTATAATTTATTAGACTTTCAAGGACTTTTGGTAGAAACATACATAGAATTCTCACAAGAAAAAATCTCTAATCCATCGAGAGATTTCTCACAAGCCGGCCTATTGTTTTTCCTTCTAGGGTTTCTCCTCCATCTCCTTCAATCAGGTAATAATCGCGCTCTACACTTCTCTATCTCTCCCTCTATGAGTTTTTTGTTTGATTTATGGATAAACCCATCTCCAAAATTGCAAGGTCGAAGAAGATGATTCTGGAGAGTTTTTGATTTCTAAACCAGTTCAACATACCCACAGAAAAACACTAATTCTTTCCAAATTTTTAGCGATTGGCCTGAAATGCAACACCCTCCGCCCTTAATACCCTAACCCGAAATTGGACCCTTGAAACCATCCATTCACACCGGTGTTGATACAAATAGTGCATTAGTTCAGCCGTACCCACTTGGGGTTGATCTCCCATATGTGCCCACACCTACAACTCTGAGGATCACATACTCGCAGTAAGCACACACCTTTGACCCACAACAGCCTGTGGTCGTTGCTGACACTGCTATGCCTTATTATCCAAACCTGATTGTTGTCGCCGTGCTGAATTGGGTGGCAGCTATCTGGCAACTTGGGACAAGTGTTGGTGCAACTGTGTGAACTTATGTTCTCAATTATTATTTTCATTTGAATTCTTGATTTTTGATGTGTTGAATTGATCCAAAATATTCATTTTGCTGAATTTTGATTGATGTTGTTTATGTTATAGAGACTGGTATGATTTGTGTGTGTAACTTTGTGTTTGGTTATATATTTGTGAATGTAGTCTCGTAGGTATATCAGCTGGGTAGTTATCCTATTTCTAATATTGTTCCCTTGAGCATAAAGTAATTATTTTCCAATATCAATCTTACTTCTGATGGAGTAGAACCCTTTTGTATATTCAATACTTATTAACATGAACATCATAAATAATTCATTATGCGGATTAGATGCAAGATGCTGAACTTGGGTGCGTTTGGAGTGTAAGAAAAGATTAACTGTAAGAGATGTTATTGTACATATTCCACATCCTTAGATCGGATGGACTCACCTTCCTTTGTATGGCAAATGATACCTTCTTGAGTAAGCACAAAAGAAGAAAAAGATAGAAATTATAATCCCCCTTTTTGCTAATGAAATTTACTATGTTTCTGGAAGTATTTGTTGGACATTTTTAGGGAAACCAAGAGTCTTGGATTAGTGTATTAACATCTGGGCTTCTTGTTGTTGGACATTTTTAGGTTTTATTGTGAGTACAAATAATATTATGCTTTTCATAGTTGATCAATGTTTACAATTTTTAGGTATAAAACAAGATTTCTTCATGGTTTATTGATATGTCCATTTTTGGAACTCGAGTAGCTATGTTTGCTTGACTTTTTGTTGCTCATTTTGTATATCATTTTGTATTTGCCTAAATGTTTGTTCTCTAATTATATGACACTAGTTTTAACGGAAGATTCAACACAAGAAAATGACAAGGTTTAGGGAAAACGTACCAAAAAATATGAGAAATGGACGTCGGAAGAAAGCAACGAGCTTTTAAAACTCATGGTTGATGCTGCCACACGTGGTTGGCATGATAGTAATGGTCTGTTGAGCAAGATAACTGTAGAAAAACACATACTTCCTCATCTTAACCAAAAACTTG